CTAAGCCCCGAGGGTACTACCGCCATCTACTGGCTGCAGTGTTTTTGTGTTATGCATTATTGCATGAGTAAAACTAGAACACTCAGTAGCTATAACCTATCAGCATTTGGTTAAATCAGATGAAAGAATATAATTACTTATATTTATATTGACTGTGCGTGGGCCTGGCAGTGGCAGATTCATTTCAGGCAAAAGTGTGCACAATCAACGGTAGGGCATGTATTTTAATTGTTTGAATAATTTATATGGTTATAAAATATAACATCGAAACACTGACGCAAAGAACACGTATTTAGAATGTGTAAGTAAGTTTACTTGACTACAGTCCAGTTCTGTATCCTACATAATAAAATATGACAATCGTGAATTTCTTTGTCAATTACTTTTATCAAATGAATATCCCACATTTGTTTTAAGCACTTTCAAATTATATGTTAGAAACAAATATTATAGGATTGATATAATATGTACAATGTATAAAGTCCTGTACTCTGCAGGTGCAGATAGATAGATAGATAGATAGATAGATATAGATATATATAGATAGATACAGACAGACAAGACAGACAGACAGACAGACAGACAGACAGATGGATATCATAGATGGATATCATAGATAGATAGATAGGTAGACAGACAGACAGACAGACAGACAGACAGACAGACAGACATACAGATAGATAGATAGATAGATAGATAGATAGATAGATAGATAGATAGATAGATAGATACAGACAGACAGACAGACAGATAAATAGATGGATATGATAGACAGACAGACAGACAGACAGATAGATAGATAGACAGATAGATAGATAGATAGATAGATAGATAGATAGATAGATAGATAGATAGATAGATAGATAGATAGATAGATAGATAGATAGATAGATAGATAGATAGATAGATAGATAGATAGATAGATAGATAGATAGATAGATAGATATCAATCATAGATAGATACTTCATTCATCCCAAATTGTGAAATGTGTGGAAACAAGTATAAACATAATAACATGAAACACAAATGAAAGCAATGATTTGAGATCCACGAGCAGAGAGTTGAGATCCACAAGCGCATTTTTGGTCAACAAATACAAAATGGATTCACAAATGCCTGATCGAAAGTTGTAAATGTTAAAGACATATTCACAGATCTTTTTTTTATTTGTGAACATATTTAGCGTATTTGCAGATCCGTTTTACATTTGCAAATTTATTTGTGAGTTTGCAAATCTTTTAAATGCATTTGTGGATTGTGTTTTACATTTACAAATCACATATTTACACACAAATAATTGTTATGTTCACACAAATAATTATGAGACATATCTATGCCCATAGTATCTTCTCCGCCGGCCCCGCCTCTCACTAAAATGCCGGTGTTATGCCGTAGATTGAAGCCTTGCCGTAGATTGAAGCCCTGTCCGCGGGGACGCGCACAGGTGACGTCATCGCCTGTATTGAGTTTCGCCGAGTTTTCAAAGCTTTTTTCTCTCTTTTGAATGATATATTTCACATCAGATTAAACAGCAAACGGCTGAATAAATAATGTGCATACAATTGCAAGGTTGCTCGTTTTAAGGAAAGGCAATGAAAGGATAAGATGTCATTTGTCAGTATAGTCCTATTTCTTAAAGGGCCCATGTCATGGCCATTTCCACTGATCATAATTACATTGTTGAGGTATACTAAAATAGATTTATACTGTGCAATTTTCCAAACTCACATTGGTTTCGCATACAGCATCTCTGTCAAGCATGTGTATTCAGCAGTATTCACTTTCTCCACTAAACGACTCGTTGGAGCTCTTGCCCCCCCCTCCCTGTGAGCCTAGTGTGCTCCGATTGGTCAGCTCGGCCACTCTGTTCTGATTAGTCAACCACCAGAGAGGCTCCGCCCGCTTTTTTCGGGGAACATCAGTGTAATGGTACAGCTGATATTTTATACTAACTAACCGAACTGAACCTACAACTGTTGTTATAGAAGAGTGTGACGGCCCCAGGGCCTTTGTGCAGGTGTGTTGCAGGGCTTACGGTGGGGTGGAGCTGAAGAGGGTAATCAGCGCGATGACGGACACCTCCGTAGCCGGTGCTATTAATCCCAGCGGCCCGGAGTCTCTCTCCAAAGCGGCTGCAGAAGGACGAACTGAGCGACCCTCTCCCCTCGACCACCTATCTCTGCATTTACCACAATAAATGTGCCGTGGTTTTGTAAACTCGTGTATGTCTCCTTGCCTTTCCGTTGTGGCCTACGAGCCGACATAACAAAGAGTAAGTTATTTTTACCTGTAATAAACTACTACTGTTTGATGAGAAATCAAATCATGGTTTGCTAATATATGAATTCAGGGAAGAAAGGATAGGCCTACTAAGTATTTCCATTAAACTTTATTTTTAGAAATGTACAAAATGAACATAAATATACATATATACACGGTATATCATCCATTCCTCCTCCTCTTGCCTGCGCACAGCCGGTGCGGTGCGGTGCCTTTTAGCACGAGGCCTCAGTAGTAGTAGAAGTCCCGTCCCCGTCATGGATTGTCCGCCAGGATCTGGCTGGACGAAATCAAATGCAAATCACAAAATATTAGAGAAACTTAGTTGTTTTAGATTCGTTAGTAGTAGTTGTGTAATGAACAGCTTGCCTGCTAATATGCTAACCTAGCTTTGTTTACCTTGGTAGCTAACACGATATGAACGTTAGCTTGGAGGAAAGGCAACTATAATGCAGTGTAATAAAACTACTATGAACAAAAGCTAGTGGTTCATATTAGGCTAGCAATAACGTGTTTATAATTGCAATCCTATACAGGTATTCTGCTACCATACAATGTAACTTGCATGAATACATTGTTTTGCGCTAGCATACAGCTAGCCTCGTTAGCTACATGCAGTATATGTAGTCACAATGTACGGTAAATCACCCGGACTATACTGTATGAGTATTCCGTGTGTGTGACTGCAGACATTCTCCTGCCATGACAAACATGTAAGGCCATCTGCTGACATTGTAGTTGATATATTTAAACGCTAGCAACGTAGCATCACAAAAATGTTTTTCCGACCAAATCTAGCTCTAGCTCCGTGTGTTAGATCGGTTGCATACACGCTACGCCAGCTATAATGTAATTACGTTTCGCGACTGACCGCACGGCAAATCACCCGGAGTATACTGTCAATAGGTATTTTGTGTGTGAATGCAGACATTCTCCTGCTATGAGATACATGTATGCAAGGCCATCTGCTGATATTAGAGTTGATATATGGAAACTCTAGCAACTTAGTTAGCACAGTTAGCACTGTGTCAATGGCTTAGCAGTCCAACACAGTTTACACATTTAAACAGTCTTGTTTGATAAATACACAAATAACAATGCAAACTTACAGGTTGTATACCCGGATCTTCCCCTGCTCCAAACGGTCCAAACAAGCTGTGCATATCCGGCCTCAAACTGGGCAATGTTTTGGAAGCTTTCGTCTGTGAAATGCCGGTTCTTCGAACCTCTGGAGGAGGAACACGCCGCTGCTGGTGTGGCCATAGCTCTTCGGGATTGGTCCATTTCGTTCCGGGTACCGCATGACATCAGGCGGTACCCGGAAGTATCAAATGGGCAGTGACGTATCTCCAACGAGGCGTTTTGGGGAGGTATTTTCTGTGTTAGAGTTTTACTCGCTACAGGGTGTACTTTGAGGGTTTTGACTCTGCACACCGTTTACATGCATAAAAACCTTCATAACACACAAGGGGACGGGTAATAACCGGAAAAGCATGACATGGGAGCTTTAAAACCTTCTCTGTTGTTTAAGTGTCTGATAACCACGAATATAAGCAATGATATAACAGTAATTATATAACATATGTCAGACACTGTGTTATTTTCAATCAAGCCTAAAAGATTATAATGTGTTCAAACTGGCTTCACTCGCTTTAATTGCTCCTTTGAATGTAATGTTCCTCTGTGGTTTCCTACTCAACACATGTTTGTATTGTAATGCCACTCATATTTTATTTTTTATTGTATTTTAAGGTGACATTGAATGCTTTGAAATGTGCCCTAAAATAAAGTGTATTATTGATCTTATATCTGTGCCTATATCACACTATTAATGTTCCTTATTTTAGACTAGGTTAATCCTGGTGTCAATAGGGAAGATCTGCACTGTTCTCTACATAACATGTTCAGCAGAGCTGGTATTTCTCCTGCCAGATTTGGAACCCCCCCTATCATTTTGTCCAGGATAGACTCACCAAAATCACACTGGTGTTTGCTGTTCCCCTCTAGTGTGTGCTCACAAAAGCATTTTACTTTGGGCCCAGCAGGTAAAAAACTAAAGAGGGTCTTCCAAATCCGGCAGACCAGGTGTTGTAGCTGCCGGATTTGGAAGCCCCCCTATATCTTTGTCCAGGATAGTCACAACTTCACCAAAATCATACTGGTGTTGCCTGTTCCCCTCTACTTTGTGCTCACAAAAGCATGTTACTCTGGGCCCAGCAGGTGAAAAATGATAGGGGGGCTTCCATATCCGGCAGCTACAACACCTGGTCTGCCGGATTTGGAAGCCCCTCTGTAGTTTTTCACACACACACACACACACACACACACACACACACACACACACACACACACACACACACACACACACACACACACACACACACACACAGTATGTATTATTGTATGAGAGAGGTTCCAGGTTGAATTGAGGCCAATATTTGTAATGTTCAGAAGTTGTGTTTAATATTCATGAGAATATTTGTTATTGTTCAAATGATAATAAACAAACATATAAAGCATATTTGTCCACTCATATGTTGATAAGAGTATTAAAAACTTGAAAAATATGCCTCTAAGGTACATTTAGAACAGATAAAAAATGTGCGATTAATTTGCGATTAAATATTTTAATCGACTGACAGCCCTAATACCAATATTTGAGAAAGTGAGGAAGCAACATGAGTTCATGTTTTTTTTTCTGATAGTGGACGTCTCTCACCTTGATGCGGATCTCATTGGCTTGGGGCGGGGCTACTTCAACCTCCTCAATCACCAAAGGCTTGTTCGGCTCCCAGGCCACTGCTGCCTTGCACTTGATGACCTAAGGGACACGATGTGACCAGAATGAGAAATAACAAATACCGAAAACTGATTAAGCATATTGTTATTGAAGAACCACAGTACCCAGTAAGACCCTTTGTCGCACTCTAAAAATACTAAATATCCTCTTAACTTAAGGCAACATGCTACATTAGCATGACCCTGGATACGTTGACAATCCTTTGTGCTAAATTCAAAGCAAAGCAAGTGTAATTTACACTTCAAATCAACTTACTGCCAAATAGGAAAATAGTATCATATTAGGCAAACCTCTTTCCTTTTTAATATGAAATGTTAACAGCAATTGGTTTAATCTCTCTGCTGCTCCTGGCAAAAGCAAACAGGAAAACCAACAATGTATTACATTGTATGACCTTTTGACAGTATAAGTTAATGGAGGGTCAGCAAGTAAACAGAATCGGTTTTAGTGGTTTATCTTGAATTCAAAGTATGATTTTGGCCCACTATCTCCTCAGCTTTGTGTACAGTATATATACTTGACTGGAGAGTTTCAAACTGTGTGCCAAGTGAAACAGGACATGAGATATTTCACTGAGGCAATGGGGCAGGAAAACATCTCCAGTAAGTAAGAAACAGATTTTTCTTTTTGTGAGCTACAAAGTAAATCACATGTCTGTAAACTTGTATGGCGTGAAAACTGCACTTCATTGAAACATTTTTTTATAATCTCAGATATCGACTTTGTTTTACAACCAACCTCAATCCAAATACTGAAACCTCATAAACACTGCAAACCAGAACTGCACAACATGCACACATTGTCATGAACAATAATGATGAGATACAATTGCATAGATTTTGGATGTTTTTTAACATTATTGCATATATAGTACCCTCATTTTTAGATTTCTCAAACATCTCATGTAGCACAGGTAATAGTCATGGACATACCGCAAAAAGAATAAAAAGAAACACTTAGTATGAGTGCATACATGTTAGATTATACTTACTTTACCAGCTGTGGCCATTTTTGCTGCAAACATAAGAGTGAACAGGCGAGAATAGGGTGAAGAGAGGATAGCAGCTGCAGGACATGAGCGGGGAGGAGACAAGAGACCGTGAACTGGAGGTTCATATATTGCGGAAGAATAAAACAGTTTGACATTCAGTGGCTGGGAGCTGTTATCAGTTATTTCAGCTCCTAGATAAGAAAACCTAGGCAACCCATCTGGAGCCTGTGTGGAATAAACATGCAGCAGCCAACACAACTTAATGTAAATCTCTTTCTACTACAACAAACCAACAGGATTAGCTTTATTGGTACTTATTGGCTTATCCTTACTGTGGAATGAGTGTAATGTGTATATTTAGATGGTGTTGCAAAACCTTTGGAAGTAAGGAGAAACATACGGAGCCCCCTAGAAAGAAAATTGGTTGAAAAAAATAATAATAGCCTAATAATAACTTTTGGTTTTCATTTAGCTCAATGTACTTCCGGGTCAGTTCGGCGACAGAGAAACCACAACAATGGAGCGGTTCATCGATTTTTACTTTGAGCTTGGCCTAAAATATAAAGATATAACATCAGTGCTTGGCAATACACATAAGTGAATACTCATTTTTCACTAACTTCATTTTTTTAAGATGTAGTGCTACCAAAATCCCTCAACACATCAATGGTTATGTTGTTGTTACAGTATAACACTTATTTTGAATAAATATGCTTTTAAATATTTTTCAGGCTTTTTTATTTCAAACTATTTTAAATAAAAACAAACAATGCAACCAAATATTCCATGCATCAAGGGTGTCCTGCTTATCATACTACACCTATAGTTTTGTGGAAATGTGGCTTTGTATAATTTTTATGAATTTTTATGTTTAACTATTTTCAATAGCTCCAATGTTTTACAGTGTGGTTGCATTGTTTTTTCTCTGAGGGCCCATACAGAAAAATATACGAAGGGCGGGGCCACTCGAGGTGAGGTATATTGCCTTAATTTATTAGTTAGCCAAATCATTCAGATGTAGGTAAATGATGCTTGATACTTGAAAATCACAGCTCTCCATAGGGTTTCATTTATTTTGTTGGCAGCTCATTCCTTAAAACAGAAGCTTCAGATTGCTTATAATAAGAGGAAATATGAAATATATGTTATGTAAATAAGTTATTGAGCTTTTTTCTTATCAACTTAGATTTGTTAGAACATGTGGGCTTATTAATACATATATATTTAAGAAGTACAATATAAGACATGCACAAGTTGAATTTGTGGGCCATATTTCATTATACTTTTTTAATTAGCTGAGGGCCGATTCAAAATGGCCCGCGGGCCACATTTGGCCACATTAAGAGTTAAAATCTTTATGTTATTTATATTAAATGAAGAGGGATTGCATGGTAGGTTTTGCTCAAGTGTTAATTTCAAACTTTTGAAAACAGTTGATAAGTTTTGTGCATAAAACCACAGAGATGTAATAGTCTGCTTTCAGGTAACCAAACCTCATTCATTCTCTAAGCCCCTCCCTACTGTTACAATAGAACCTCGCCTGGTCTCACTGTCACTCACTCTGCAGACTTTTGTGCTCACTTACTGTGACCCAGGTCAATCAGAAGTAAAAGTAAATGGCTTTTCACTGGTAAATCTTTGATCAAACCTGGATATCTATTAAGCCATAACAGGAGAAGATGGTTGAATCATTTACACATCCTCGTACATGTGTTCGTAAAAACAACAATAAACTGCCTATCAGAAAACAATTTATCATAAGTCCAGTCACCGCTCACCTCATCTCAACTATGTCCTTAACAGAGGGCAGCAGTAATACACAATGCCAAAAAGAGGAATGCTGATCTCTGTGCAAACTGTTTGTAGGTCAAAACACAATTCATTGTTGCATAATTTAAATGGAAATATCTTATCAGGAGTACAATGAGATTTCAAAGTCCATGATAGTGTGTGACTCAAATACGCTCAAATATATATTGTTTTTGAGGAGCAGATCATTACAGGCTGTAGATCATTAGCTTACTTGTTGTTCAAAGTCTGTCTAGTGGCAGGCTGAAGACGTTAGTGCTTCATGCAAGATTAGATTGGCTGTATTAAAATAAGGTCTCTACCTAAGTACATGGACACTGAATGGTATTCTGCCAGACTAATGCAAAAATAAGAAAGCACTACCAACAAATATATTATGCATTTTGGTTTTAGAATTTTTATTTATAATAATTTCAACACTGTCTGTAAATATAAATAAATCAAAATGAGGTTGTTGCGATAGAAACAAAAAAATATGATATTTTTAATAAAAAGAATTAACATTATATATTGATATAATGTTTAAAATACACAAAATATGTTGGCAGATGTTGGATTATTATTCTTTATACCTACCTCCATTCATATTTTGAGTGTAATTCATATGCCAAAAAAAGAGGTAAGGAAAATATAAACAAAGTTAAAGATCAATTTGACTGGTAGCATTTTTTTGTCTGAATAAATTAGCTATTTCAATGACTAGACTAAAAATTAAGTAACAAAATGCAATGCAGACTTACCTGTTAGGCCCCAAGCCTGTTTTTCAGGTCTCAGGCTCGAAAATGACATTTCCAGAACAAATGACCTTAACCTGTTAAGCACCAAGCCTGTTTTTCATGTTTCAGGCTCGAAAATGACATGCCCAAAACAAATGACTACAACTTAACTTCTAAAAGGGTTATATGAATAATTCTTTTTATCAAAGCAAGGTTACATCTGTGAGTTGGATGTAGAAGTGTCAGAATCAATATAGATGTTTTTTATTTTAAAGAAAATTCAGATTTTACATAGTAAAAAACTGTAAATTATAGTGTCCGTCCAAATATTCTTTTTTACTTATAGTGAAAACTACCCTTGGATGATGGGTTAGTAGACTAAAAGCTTTAGGAATCCAAAGTACAACATATAATAAGTACCCTGTATCAAGATTGATGCAAAACAAGTGACATTTGACCTTTTTAGAGAGGTTTAGCCAAAACCACCCCACCTCTGAGGTGATTTGGGTGAAAATGTTTTTTTTCCATATCTCTGGCCCCCCTTGGTCGATTTTGATGGTTGACACCTCTTTCTGACCGTTAGAGCCAATAGAATCGAAGGGGGAGGCCCCCACACACACTCGTTGTGAAAACAAACGGTGGGGGCTTCGCGCATGTAATTTTGCAGCAGAGTGGACCGATCTCTCGCTCTGACATTTGGAAACGAAAAAGCAGTTTTATTGTTTATGGATTATCAGAAATCATTTTAAAGAGGGCACAGACACATTGGATTAACCTATGGATTAACTGCAGCATCGTTTTTTTATCGTTTTAATGCCATTGAAGACCAGTTTTGACCAAGGTAAGCCATGTTAGCGTTTCTAGCTACCTAGCTCCACATGTTATGATGTACGCTTTCGTTTATAGCGTCGCAAATGTTTATCACTGAGTGTTGAGGTGGGCACCCCCAGATTCTGTGTCTCCAGGTGATGCAAAATGAGTGGTTGGCTGTGCATCTAGGATAAGTAATAAGGGAAGGGAGTTATGAGTGAGTTTAGGTGCAGTTTTAGGTTACATTTTTTCGCTCGTGGCTAATTCAGAGGCTGAGTGTTAGCATTGTGGGGTTTTTTTGGAGAAAAAAAATTAAAAAGATCAGTTAGCTGAGTTTCTTCGCATTACATGGATATAAAACATTCATAGTTTATTACAGTGGCGAGCCGTGAGCTTTATACCTAGGCCCTCTGACCCCCACCCCTTCCCTCGAAAAAAAGGAAAAAAAAGAGTTATTACGTCACAGCGTATACTTCAGCGGAATATCAAAACAACGGCCCAGGGTGCAAAACGCATCAATGACAGCGACCCTCTACCACACAAAACAACACCTGTGAACCCAATTTGTGTTCTTTGACATTGAAAATGATATTGCATTGTGTTTGTTACTTTCGTTGCAGTTGTATGTCTTAAGTGTAATTTGGCATGTTTTTATTTTGAAGGCGAGTTCACGCTGTTGACAGGAAGTTGTTGTTGCTATGGAAACAAGAACAGTTTCACAGCGGGCGGAACTCGTCATAAAGTCCGCGATAATAAAACCCACCCATTTAGAGGGAAGATATGATTGGTCAATTGTACTGTCATTTGACATTACTCTCTCGTTCAGTTATTATAGCGGGCCCTCTGTGAATCGCAGAGAGGCCCGCTATAGTAACTGACATTCAAACAGAGACTGAACAGGCAGATTCGAAGGATTTATTTCTTTGGAAATGTTATTTTATTAAATCAAGTTTTTTTTCGGTAAAACTAATGAAAAATATAACAAAAATAATATTAAAAAAATATATATTTTAAAAAAATATATTTTTTTTTAATGTTTTTAAATATTATTTTTTGGAATATCTTAGGCCCTCACAGAGGGCCTAGAGGGCCCTGACGGCTCGCCACTGGTTTATTAAATATTAAGATTCCTTAGACGTTGTTTCCTGCAAATGACGCGTTTATCCGCCCGGTACCGGGGGGGCGGTGCGTAACAGGTTAACTACACTTCTAAAAGGGGAAAATTAATAATCTTTTTTCTCAAAGTAATGATAAACCTGTGAGTTGGATGTAGAAAAGTCAGAATCAATATAGATGTTTTTTATTTAAAAAAAAATTCAGATTGAACATAGTAAAAAACTGTAAATTATAGTGTCCGTCCAAACATTCTTTTTTACTTATAGTGAAAACTACCCTTGGATGATGGGTTAGTAGACTAAAAGCTTTAGGAATCCAAAGTACAACATATAATAAGTACCCTGTATAAAGATTGATGCAAAACAAGTGACATTTGACCTTTTTGGAGAGATTTAGCACAAAAAAAACACTTCTGGGGTCATTTGGGTGGATTTTCCATATCTCTGGCCCCCCTTGGTCGATTTTGATGATTGACACCTCTTTCTAACCGTCAGAGCCAATAGGCGAGTTCACACCAAGTACTTTGCAGTACTTAGTTCCGGCACTCAGTGCCCCGGCACTTTTTACCCCAGGGCACTTAGTACAGATCGCGTTCACACCGAAGTACTTTTCCCTGAGGGAAGATTACGCAAATGAGCCGCTGACGTCACTTCTTCTTCTGCTTTGGGTTTACTGGCAGGCCACAAACCACTTCACGGTGAGTACAGTAGGTGGCGGTATGCACCTTAAAGTTGTTTGCAATCCGCTACAAAAACAAGAGAAGAAGAAGAAAAACTTCCCGCGTATACTGCGACGCCCACCCACTCGCTGTACATTAGGCGTCTGTTGTTTACCTTCCGACCTCAGACATGATGGAGATGGAGTCGACTGAAGTTGTGCTGTTTGTGCTCATGTTATACAGCTTTGTAACTGAGTTCATGCAGCCTGAGCAACTTGCGTACAA